TTAAAGATGCATTGAAAAATGTGATACTCAGACCGATGCTTCTGTTGTTCGTGGAGTAACTCATGCAGCCAGCTATGGCTCTAGGATTTGGTGTTACATGTTAATTTACGTAGTTTATTGTAAAAATTCGGTCACAGTCCTTGTGATCACTGTTACGTTGCAATTATGGCTTTATTTTTTGGTGATTTGGAAAACATACTCTTTGGTTCTATTGGGTAAAGTCACGTAGGTGAAAATAAAATAACATTTTTTTTTGAGTATGGATCCTAGCAGTCACGAAAGCTTTAAATCTAGATTTGGAAAACGTTTTTTTGGTTTGGCCATGTTGTTGTTGGTTGTTGTAGTACGGAGTTAGACTGATGGCCTTAATCTAATTTTTGTGGTTGTTGTTTGACTTGCATCCCACTGGGATTTATTTCACACAGCGTTGGTGGTGTACGGTGCTGTTTCAGGAATATTTTGATGGTTTTTTTCCCCTGGATTTTCTGTTTGCACAAAGTCACACATAGTCACACATAGTCACTTTAAGATGTTTTTCTTGTTCATGTTTTTTTTGTTTGTTGTGGTTGCACCCGATTCAAGAGCCGAATGGCTCACAGGGCTATACCAAAATAAATGGAACTGAAACTGAACTGAACTCACTCACCCCACTCACCCCTCCCACTGCACTCACTCACCCCACTCACCACACTCACTCACTCACCCACCCACTCACCCACTCACTCACCCACTCACCCACTCACTCACCCACCCCCTCACTCACCCACCCAACCCACTGGACTCACTCACTCACCCACTCACCCAGCCCACTCACTCACTCACCCCTCCCACTGCACTCACTCACCCCACTCACCACACTCACTCACTCACCCACCCAGCTCACTCACCCCACTCCCTCACCCCACTCACCCACTCACCCACTCACTCACCCACCCCCTCACTCACCCACTCACTCACCCAGCCTACTCACTCACCCACCCCACCCACCCCACTCACCCCACTCACTCACTCACTCACCCCACTCATCCACTCCACTCACCCACCCCACTCACCCCACTCACCCCACTCACCCCACTCACCCACCCCACTCACCCCACTCACCCCACTCAGCCAGCCTACTCACCCCTCTCACCCACCCCTCTCACCCACCCCTCTCACCCAGCCTACTCACACACTCACTCACCTCACTCACTCACTCACCCACCCCACCCACCCCACTCACCCCACTCACTCACTCACTCACTCACCCCACTCACCACACTCACTCACTCACCCACCCAGCTCACTCACCCACTCGCTCACCTACTCACTCACCCACTCACTCACCCACCCCCTCACCCACCCACTCACTCACCCCACCCACTCACTCACCCACTCACTCACCCACTCACCCCCTCACTCGCCCACCTCACTCACTCACCCCACTCACCCAGCCCACTCACTCACTCACCCCACCCACTGCACTCACTCACCCCACTCACCACACTCACTCACCCCACTCACCACACTCACTCACTCACCCACCCAGCTCACTCACCCCACTCCCTCACCCCACTCACCCACTCACCCCCTCACTCACCCACCCCACCCACCCACCCACCCCACCCACCCCACCCACCCACCCCACCCCACCCACCCCACCCACCCCACTCACCCCACTCACCCCACTCACCCAGCCTACTCACACACTCACCACACTCACTCACTCACTCACCCACTCACTCACTCACTCACCCCACTCACCACACTCACTCACTCACACACTCACTCACCTCACTCACTCACTCACCCCCTCACTCACCCCACTCACCACACCCACTCACCACACTCACTCACTCACCCACCCAGCTCACTCACCCCACTCCCTCACCCCACTCACCCACTCACTCACCCACCCCCTCACTCACCCACCCCACCCACCCCACCCACCCCAATCACCCCACCCACCCCACCCAGCCCACCCACCCCACTTACCCAGCCTACTCACACACTCACTCACTCACCCACTCACTCACCCCACTCACCACACTCACTCACTCACACACTCACTCACTCACCCAGCCCACTCACCCCACTCACCCAGCCGACTCACTCACTCACTCACCCCCTCAATCGCCCACCTCACTCACTCACCCTCTCACCCAGCCTACTCACACAATCACTCACCTCACTCACTCACTCACCTCACTCACTCACTCACCCCACCCACTGCACTCACTCACCCCACTCACCACACTCACTCACCCCACTCACCACACTCACTCACTCACTCACCCACCCAGCCCACTCACCCCACTCACCCACCCACTCACTCACCAACTCACCCCACTCACCCACCCAACCAGCCGACTCACCCACTCACCCAGCCCACTCACTCACCCCACCCCACTCACTCACCCCACTCACCCATTCCACTCACCTCACTCACTCACTCACCCACCCCACTCACCCCTCTCACCCAGCCGACTCGCTCACTCACTCACCTCACCCACCTCACGCACTCACCCACCCAGCCAACTCACACCACTCAACCAGCCTACTCACCTCACTCACTCACCCCACTCACCACACTCACTCACACACTCACTCACACACTCACTCACCTCACTCACACACTCACTCACCCACCCAGCCCACTCACGCACTCACTCACTCAATCACTCACCCAACTCACACACTCACTCACCCACTCACTCACCTCACTCACCTCACTCACCCACTCACTCACTCACCCCACTCACCCACTCACTCACTCACCTCACTCACTCACTCACCCAGCCCACTCACCCCACTCACCCCACTCACACACTCACTCACACACTCACTCACCTCACTCACACACTCACTCACCCACCCAGCCCACTCACGCACTCACTCACTCAATCACTCACCCAACTCACACACTCACTCACCCACTCACTCACCTCACTCACCTCACTCACCCACTCACTCACTCACCCCACTCACCCACTCACTCACTCACCTCACTCACTCACTCACCCAGCCCACTCACCCCACTCACCCCACTCACTCACTCACTCACCTCACTCACCTCACTCACCTCACTCACTCACCTCACTCACCCCACTCACCCCACTCACTCACCCACCCCACTCACTCACTCACCCCACTCACTCACCCACCCCACTCACTCACTCACCCAGCCTACTCACCCCTCTCACCCAGCCTACTCACTCACTCACTCACCCAGCCCACCCACCCCACTCACCCCACTCACTCACTCACCCACTCACTCACCCACTCACTCACACACTCACCCACTCACTCACCCACTCACTCACCCACTCACCCCTCTCGCCCAGCCTACTCACTCACCCCACTCACTCACTCAGCCCACTTACCTACCCACCCCACTCACCCACTCACTCACCCACTCACCCACTCACTCACCCACCCCACTCACTCACCCACTCACTCACCCACTCACTCACCCACCCCACTCACTCACCCACTCACTCACCCACTCACTCACCCACCCCACTCACTCACCCACTCACTCACCCACTCACTCACCCACCCCACTCATCCCACCAAAAACCCACTCATCCCACCCACCCCACTCACCCCACCCACTCACCCCACCCACCCACCCCACTCACCCCACCCACCCACTCCACCCACCCACCCACCCCACCCACTCCACCCACCCACCCACCCCACCCCCTGCTCTTTCACCCTCTCCCCAGTCGCCCCTCGCCGCGAGGCGCCTCTTGCAGTTGACAGTGACTGTAGCTACACCCACACCTTGGTAGGGCTGTGTGTGTGTTGACAGTGACTGTAGCTACACCCACACCTTAGTAGGGCTGTGTGTGTGTTGACAGTGACTGTAGCTACACCCACACCTTGGTAGGGCTGTGTGTGTGTTGTTGACAGGAAGTGTAGCTACACCCACACCTTAGTAGGGCTGTGTGTGTGTTGACAGTGACTGTAGCTACACCCACACCTTGGTAGGGCTGTGTGTTGTTGACAGGGAGTGTAGCTACACCCACACCTTGGTAGGGCTGTGTGTGTGTTGACAGTGACTGTAGCTACACCCACACCTTGGTAGGGCTGTGTGTGTTGAAAGGACTGTAGCTACACCCACACCTTGGTAGGGCTGTGTGTTGTTGACAGGGAGTGTAGCTACACCCACACCTTGGTAGGGCTGTGTGTGTGTTGACAGTGACTGTAGCTACACCCACACCTTGGTAGGGCTGTGTGTGTTGTTGACAGGGAGTGTAGCTACACCCACACCTTGGTAGGGCTGTGTGTCTGTTGACAGGGTCTGTAGCTACACCCACACCTTGGTAGGGCTGTGTGTGTTGTTGACAGGGAGTGTAGCTACACCCACACCTTGGTAGGGCTGTGTGTGTTGTTGACAGGGAGTGTAGCTACACCCACACCTTGGTAGGGCTGTGTGTGTTGTTGACAGGAAGTGTAGCTACACCCACACCCTGGTAGGGCTGTGTGTGTGTTGACAGTGACTGTAGCTACACCCACACCTTGGTAGGGCTGTGTGTGTGTTGACAGGGTCTGTAGCTACACCCACACCTTGGTAGGGCTGTGTGTGTGTTGACAGGGAGTGTAGCTACACCCACACCTTGGTAGGGCTGTGTGTTGTTGACAGTGACTGTAGCTACACACACACCTTGGTAGGGCTGTGTGTTGTTGACAGTGACTGTAGCTACCCCCACACCTTGGTAGGGCTGTGTGTTGTTGACAGGGAGTGTAGCTACACCCACACCTTGGTAGGGCTGTGTGTGTGTTGACAGTGACTGTAGCTACACCCACACCTTGGTAGGGCTGTGTGTGTTGTTGACAGGGAGTGTAGCTACACCCACACCTTGGTAGGGCTGTGTGTCTGTTGACAGGGTCTGTAGCTACACCCACACCTTGGTAGGGCTGTGTGTGTTGTTGACAGGGAGTGTAGCTACACCCACACCTTGGTAGGGCTGTGTGTGTGTTGACAGTGACTGTAGCTACACCCACACCTTGGTAGGGCTGTGTGTGTGTTGACAGTGACTGTAGCTACACCCACACCTTGGTAGGGCTGTGTGTGTTGAAAGGACTGTAGCTACACCCACACCTTGGTAGGGCTGTGTGTTGTTGACAGGGAGTGTAGCTACACCCACACCTTGGTAGGGCTGTGTGTGTTGGGAGCGGCTGTTGGGAGCGACTGTTGGGAGCGACTGTTCAGAGCGTCTGTTTGACAGTGACTGTTCTGAGCGACTGTTCTGAGCGACTGTTCGGGGCGACTGTTCGGGGCGACTGTTCGGAGCGACTGTTCTGAGCGACTGTTCGGGGCGACTGTTGGGAGCGACTGTTCAGAGCGTCTGTTTGACAGTGACTGTTCTGAGCGACTGTTCTGAGCGACTGTTCTGAGCGACTGTTGGGAGCGACTGTTCTGAGCGACTGTTGGGAGCGACTGTTGGGAGCGACTGTTGGGAGCGACTGTTCTGAGCGACTGTTGGGAGCGACTGTTCTGAGCGACTGTTGGGAGCGACTGTTCGGGGCGACTGTTCTGAGCGACTGTTGGGAGCGACTGTTGGGAGCGACTGTTCCGAGCGACTGTTGGGAGCGACTGTTGGGAGCGACTGTTCAGAGCGTCTGTTTGACAGTGACTGTTCTGAGCGACTGTTCTGAGCGACTGTTCGGGGCGACTGTTGGGAGCGACTGTTGGGAGCGACTGTTCGGAGCGACTGTTGGGAGCGACTGTTCGGGGCGACTGTTCAGAGCGTCTGTTTGACAGTGACTGTTCTGAGCGACTGTTGGGAGCGGCTGTTGGGAGCGACTGTTGCGAGCGACTGTTGGGAGCGACTGTTGCGAGCGACTGTTGGGAGCGGGTTGTTGGAGGAGGGTGTTTACAGTCGCCATGTGGAAGCGATGGGTGGGAGTTGTGGCGGCACTGGCGGCGTCCATCTATCTGATGTGGGACGACGAACCAACGTGCGACAAAGGTGGGTGACTCTGCCGTGGGTGACTCTGCCGTGGGTGACTCTGCCGTGGGTGACTCTGCCGTGGGTGACTCTGATTCTGCTGTGGGTGACTCTACCGTGGGTGACTGCTGTGGGTGACTCTACCGTGGGTGACTCTGCCGTGGGTGACTCTACCGTGGGTGACTCTGATTCTGCTGTGGGTGACTCTACCGTGGGTGACTCTGCCGTGGGTGACTCTGCCGTGGGTGACTCTACCGTGGGTGACTCTGCCGTGGGTGACTCTGATTCTGCTGTGGGTGACTCTACCGTGGGTGACTCTGCCGTGGGTGACTCTGCCGTGGGTGACTCTACCGTGGGTGACTCTGCCGTGGGTGACTCTACCGTGGGTGACTCTGCCGTGGGTGACTGCTGTGGGTGACTCTGCCGTGGGTGACTCTGCCGTGGGTGACTCTGCCGTGGGTGACTGCTGTGGGTGACTCTACCGTGGGTGACTCTGCCGTGGGTGACTCTGCCGTGGGTGACTGCCGTGGGTGACTGATGTGGGTGACTCTACCGTGGGTGACTCTACCGTGGGTGACTGCCGTGGGTGACTGCCGTGGGTGACTCTGCCGTGGGTGACTCTGCCGTGGGTGACTGCTGTGGGTGACTCTACCGTGGGTGACTCTGCCGTGGGTGACTCTACCGTGGGTGACTCTGCCGTGGGTGACTGCTGTGGGTGACTCTACCGTGGGTGACTCTACCGTGGGTGACTCTACCGTGGGTGACTGCTGTGGGTGACTCTACCGTGGGTGACTCTGCCGTGGGTGACTCTGCCGTGGGTGACTCTACCGTGGGTGACTCTACCGTGGGTGACTGCCGTGGGTGACTCTACCGTGGGTGACTCTGCCGTGGGTGACTCTGCCGTGGGTGACTCTGCCGTGGGTGACTCTGCCGTGGGTGACTCTGCCGTGGGTGACTGCTGTGGGTGACTGCTGTGGGTGACTCACTCAGTGGGTGACTCACTCGGTGGGTGACTCACTCTGTGGGTGACTCACTCAGTGGGTGACTCACTCTATGGGTGACTCTGGGGGTGACTCACTCTGCGGGTGACTCACTCAGTGGGTGACTCTGGGGGTGACTCTGTGGGTGACTTACTCTGTGGGTGACTCTGCCGTGGGTGACTAACTCTGCGGGTGACTTACTCTGCGGGTGACTCTGTGGGTGACTCACTCTGCCGCGGGTGACTGTGGGTGACTCACTCTACCGTGGGTGACTACCGCGGGTGACTGCCGTGGGTGACTCTGTGGGTGACTCACTCTGTGGGTGACTCACTCTGTGGGTGACTCTGTGGGTGACTCACTTTGCGGGTGACTCACTCTGTGGGTGACTCTGTGGGTGACTCACTCTGCCGTGGGTGACTCTGTGGGTGACTCACTTTGCGGGTGACTCACTCTGTGGGTGACTCTGTGGGTGACTCACTCTGCCGTGGGTGACTCTGTGGGTGACTCACTCTGCTGTGGGTGACTCACTCTGCCGTGGGTGACTCCGTGGGTGACTCTGTGGGTGACTCACTCTGCTGTGGGTGACTCACTCTGTGGGTGACTCTGCCGTGGGTGACTAACTCTGCGGGTGACTTACTCTGCGGGTGACTCTGTGGGTGACTCACTCTGCCGCGGGTGACTCTGTGGGTGACTCACTCTACCGTGGGTGACTACCGCGGGTGACTGCCGTGGGTGACTCTGTGGGTGACTCACTCTGTGGGTGACTCACTCTGTGGGTGACTCTGTGGGTGACTCACTCTGCCGTGGGTGACTCTGTGGGTGACTCACTCTGCTGTGGGTGACTCACTCTGCCGTGGGTGACTCCGTGGGTGACTCTGTGGGTGACTCACTCTGCTGTGGGTGACTCACTCTGCCGCGGGTGACTCTGTGGGTGACTCTGTGGGTGACTCACTCTGCTGTGGGTGACTCTGTGGGTGACTCTGTGGGTGACTCTGTGGGTGACTCACTCTGCCGCGGGTGACTCTGTGGGTGACTCACTCTGCTGTGGGTGACTCACTCTGCCGCGGGTGACTCTGTGGGTGACTCTGTGGGTGACTCTGTGGGTGACTCACTCTGCTGTGGGTGACTCACTCTGCCGCGGGTGACTCTGTGGGTGACTCTGTGGGTGACTCACTCTGCTGTGGGTGACTCACTCTGCCGCGGGTGACTCTGTGGGTGACTCTGTGGGTGACTCACTCTGCTGTGGGTGACTCACTCTGCCGCGGGTGACTCTGTGGGTGACTCTGTGGGTGACTCACTCTGCTGTGGGTGACTCACTCTGCCGCGGGTGACTCTGTGGGTGACTCTGTGGGTGACTCACTCTGCTGTGGGTGACTCTGTGGGTGACTCACTCTGCTGTGGGTGACTCTGTGGGTGACTCACTCTGCTGTGGGTGACTCTGTGGGTGACTCACTCTGCTGTGGGTGACTCTGTGGGTGACTCACTCTGTGGGTGACTCACTCTGCTGTGGGTGACTCTGTGGGTGACTCTGTGGGTGACTCACTCTGCCGCGGGTGACTCACTCTGCCGTGGGTGACTCTGCCGTGGGTGACTCTGTGGGTGACTCACTCTGCGGGTGACTCTGTGGGTGACTCACTCTGCCGCGGGTGACTCTGTGGGTGACTCACTCTGCCGCGGGTGACTCTGTGGGTGACTCTGTGGGTGACTCACTCTGCTGTGGGTGACTCTGTGGGTGACTCACTCTGCGGGTGACTCACTCTGCCGTGGGTGACTCTGCCGTGGGTGATTGCCGCGGGTGACTCACTCTGCCGCGGGTGACTCTGTGGGTGACTAACTCTGCCGCGGGTGACTCTGTGGGTGACTCACTCTGTGCGTGACTCTGTGGGTGACTCACTCTGTGGGTGACTCTGTGGGTGACTCACTCTGCCGTGGGTGACTCTGTGGGTGACTCACTCTGCGGGTGACTCACTCTGCCGCGGGTGACTCTGCGGGTGACTCTGTGTGTGACTCTGTGGGTGACTCTGCGGGTGACTCACTCTGCCGTGGGTGACTCTGTGGGTGACTCACTCTGCCGTGGGTGACTCTGTGGGTGACTCACTCTGCTGTGGGTGACTCTGTGGGTGACTCACTCTGCCGCGGGTGACTCTGCCGCGGGTGACTCTGTGGGTGACTCTGCGGGTGACTCTGTGGGTGACTCACTCTGCTGTGGGTGACTCTGTGGGTGACTCTGTGGGTGACTCTGCGGGTGACTCTGTGGGTGACTCTGCGGGTGGACGCGAAGGCTGTCTGCGTGGTGCCCGCGTGCTCATCACGGGCGCCAGCTCTGGCATTGGGTCCGCGGTGGCCCTGGAGTTTGCCCGCCGCGGTGCTCGGGTGGCAATCACCGCACGGCGGCACGGTCGGCTCATGCAGGTGGGGGTGGGGGCGGCGGGGGCGGGGATACAAAGGCGGACGGGAGCCACAACAACAACCACAACAACCACAACAACTGCCGCAACAGCCACAACAAATACAACATCCACCACCACAATTACAAGACCAATATAAAACACCACAACTACCTCCAGAAATACAACCACCAGCACGACTACAATCACCACCACCGCAACCACAACCACAACAACCACAACAACAACCACCGCCACAACTGAAACCACCACAACCACAACAACCACCACAAATACAACGACCACCGCCACAACTACATCCACCACCACAATAACAAGACCAATATAAAACACCACAACTACCTCCAGAAAAACAACCACCAGCACGACTAAAACCACCACCACCGCAACCACAACCACAACAACCACAACAACAACCACCGCCACAACTGAAACCACCACCACCACAACCACAACAACCACCACAAATACAACATCCACCACCACAATTACAAGACCAATATAAAACACCACAACTACCACCAGAAGTACAACCACCACCACCAGCACAACTACAATCACCGCCACCATAACCATAACCACAACAACTACAACAACCACCACAACCACCACAACAACAACCACCGCCACAACTGAAACCACCACCACCACAACCACAACAACCACCACAAATACAACCACCACCGCCACAACTACATCCACCACCACAATTACAAGACCAATACAACAACACCACAACTACCACCAGAAATACAACCACCACCACAACTACAATCACCACCACCACAACAACAACCACCACAACCACCACGAATACAACAACCACCGCCACAACTACAACCAACCACCACGATTACAAAACCAATACAACACCACAACTACAACTACCACCAGAAATACAACGACCACTAGCACAACTACAGCCACCACAACCACTACCACAACCACTACCACAATTACGAATACAACCTCCACCACCACCACCACTACCACAACAACCAACACAACCTCCACCACCACCACAACAACCAACACAACCACCACCACCACCACCACTACCACAACAACCAACACAACCTCCACCACCACCACAACAACCAACACAACCACCACCACCACCACCACCACTATCACAACAACCAACACAACCTCCACCACCACCACAACAACCAACACAACCTCCACCACCACTACCACAACAACCAACACAACCTCCACCACCACCACCACCACAACAACCAACACAACCTCCACCACCACCACCACCACAACAACCAACACAACCTCCACCACCACCACCACTACCACAACAACCAACACAACCTCCACCACCACCACAACAACAAACACAACCTCCACCACCACCACCACAACAACCAACACAACCTCCACCACCACTACTACAACAACCAACACAACCTCCACCACCACCACAACAACCAACACAACCACCACCACCACCACAACAACCAACACAACCTCCACCACCACCACCACAACAACCAACACAACCACCACCACCACAACAACCAACACAACCTCCACCACCACTACCACAACAACCAACACAACCTCCACCACCACTACCACAACAACCAACACAACCTCCACCACCACCACCACAACAACCAACACAACCACCACCACAACAACCAACACAACCTCCACCACCACCACCACAACAACCAACACAACCTCCACCACCACCACTACCACAACAACCAACACAACCACCACCACCACCACAACAACCAACACAACCTCCACCACCACCACCACCACAACAACCAACACAACCTCCACCACCACCACCACAACAACCAACACAACCTCCACCACCACTACCACAACAACCAACACAACCACCACCACCACCACAACAACCAACACAACCTCCACCACCACCACTACCACAACAACCAACACAACCTCCACCACCACCACCACAACAACCAACACAACCTCCACCACCACCACCACTACCACAACAACCAACACAACCACCACCACCACCACAACAACCAACACAACCTCCACCACCACCACCACAACAACCAACACAACCTCCACCACCACCACCACCACAACAACCAACACAACCTCCACCACCACCACCACAACAACCAACACAACCTCCACCACCACTACCACAACAACCAACACAACCACCACCACCACCACAACAACCAACACAACCTCCACCACCACCACTACCACAACAACCAACACAACCTCCACCACCACCACCACAACAACCAACACAACCTCCACCACCACCACCACCACTACCACAACAACCAACACAACCACCACCACCACCACAACAACCAACACAACCTCCACCACCACCACAACAACCAACACAACCTCCACCACCACCACAACAACCAACACAACCTCCACCACCACCACAACAACCAACACAACCTCCACCACCACCACAACAACCAACACAACCTCCACCACCACCACCACCCTCCTCCCTCCCCCCTCATCCCTCCCCCCCCCACATCCTCCCCCCTCCCTCCCCCCTCCCTGCCCCCTCATCCTCCCCCCCTCCTTCTCCCTCCCCTCCTCCTCCCCCCTCCCCCCTGCCCCCTCCCCCTCCCCCTCCTCCCCCTCCTCCTGAACCCCCCTCCTCCTCCCCTCCTCCCCCCCCCTGCCCCCCCTCCCCTCCTCCCCCTCCTCCCCCCTCCTCCTGACCCCCCTCCCCTCCTCCCCCTCCTCCCCCCTCCTCCTGACCCCCCCCCTCATCCTCCACTCCCCCCTCCCCTCCTCCCCTCTCCCCCCCCTCCCCCCTCCCCCCCGCCCCCCTCCCCCCTCCCCACTCCTCCCCCCTCCCCCGCCCCCAGCTGAGCGAGGACCTCCATGCCGCGGGTGCTCCAGACGTGACTGTGCTGCCTGGCTCCATGGAGGAGCTCCACTTCGCTAGGGCGGTGGTGAGAGACGCGGTGAGGGCCATGGGTGAGCGCACTCACCACTCACCACTACACTCACCACTCACCACTACACTCACCACACTCACCAACACCACTCACCACTCACCACCACTCACCACTACACTCACCACTACAGTCACCACTACACTCACCACTCACCACTACACTCACCACTCACCACCACTCACCACTACACTCACCACCACTCACCAACACCACTACACTCACCACTCACCACCACTCACCACTCACCACCACTCACCACTACACTCACCAACACCACTCACCAACACCACACTCACCACACTCACCACTCACCAACACCACTCACCACTCACCACCACTCACCACTCACCACCACTCACCACTACACTCACCAACACCACTCACCAACACCACACTCACCACACTCACCACTCACCAACACCACTCACCACTCACCACTCACCACCACTCACCACTCACCAACACCACTCACCACTCACCACACTCACCACTCACCACTCACCACCACTCACCACCACTCACCACTACACTCACCAACACACTCACCACCACTCACCACTCACCACCACTCACCACTCACCAACACCACTCACCACTCACCACCACTCACCACCACTCACCACTCACCACCACTCACCACTACACTCACCACTACACTCACCACTCACCACTCACCACACTCACCACTCACCACTCACCAACACCACTCACCACTCACCAACACTCACCACTCACCACTCACCAACACCACTCACCACTCACCAACACCACTCACCACCACTCACCACTTACCAACACTCACCACTCACCACTCACCAACACCACTCACCACTCACCAACACCACTCACCACACTCACCACTCACCAACACCACTCACCACTCACCACTCACCACCACTCACCACTCACCAACACCACTCACCACTCACCACACTCACCACTCACCACTCACCACCACTCACCACCACTCACCACTACACTCACCAACACACTCACCACCACTCACCACTCACCACCACTCACCACTCACCAACACCACTCACCACTCACCACCACTCACCACCACTCACCACTCACCACCACTCACCACTACACTCACCACTACACTCACCACTCACCACTCACCACACTCACCACTCACCACTCACCAACACCACTCACCACTCACCAACACTCACCACTCACCACTCACCAACACCACTCACCACTCACCAACACCACTCACCACCACTCACCACTTACCAACACTCACCACTCACCACTCACCAACACCACTCACCACTCACCAACACCACTCACCACCACTCACCACTCACCAACACCACACTCACCACCATCACACTCACCAACACCACTCACCACTCACCACTACACTCACCACTCACCAACACCACTCACCACTCACCACTACACTCACCACTCACCAACACCACTCACCACTCACCACCACACTCACCACTACACTCACCACTCACCACTCACCACCACTCACCACCACTCACCACTACACTCACCACTCACCACTCACCAACACACTCACCACTCACCACCACTCACCACTCACCAACACACTCACCACTCACCACTCACCACCACTCACCACTCACCACTACACTCACCACTCACCAACACCACTCACCACTCACCACCACTCACCACTCACCACCACTCACCACCACTCACCACTACACTCACCACTACACTCACCAACACCACTCACCACTCACCACTACACTCACCACTCACCAACACCACACTCACCACCATCACACTCACCAACACCACTCACCACTCACCACCACTCACCAACACCACTCACCACTCACCACTACACTCACCACTCACCAACACCACTCACCACTCACCAACACCACTCACCACCACTCACCACTCACCAACACCACACTCACCACCATCACACTCACCAACACCACTCACCACTCACCACTACACTCACCACTCACCAACACCACTCACCACTCACCACTACACTCACCACTCACCAACACCACTCACCACTCACCACCACACTCACCACTACACTCACCACTCACCACTCACCACCACTCACCACTACACTCACCACTCACCACTCACCAACACACTCACCACTCACCACTCACCACCACTCACCACTCACCAACACACTCACCACTCACCACTCACCACCACTCACCACTCACCACTACACTCACCACTCACCAACACCACTCACCACTCACCACCACTCACCACTCACCACCACTCACCACCACTCACCACTACACTCACCACTACACTCACCAACACCACTCACCACTCACCACTACACTCACCACTCACCAACACCACACTCACCACCATCACACTCACCAACACCACTCACCACTCACCACCACTCACCAACACCACTCACCACTCACCACACTCACCACTCACCAACACCCTCACCACTCACCACACTCACCAACACCACTCACCACTCACCACACTCACCACTCAGCAACACCACTCACCAACACCACTCACCACCATCACTCACCAACACCACTCACCACTCACCACACTCACCACTCAGCAACACCACTCACCAACACCACTCACCACTCACCACTCACCACCACTCACCACTCACCACCACTCACCAACACACTCACCACTCACCAACGCCCTCACCACTCACCACTCACCACCACTCACCACTCACCACCACTCACCACTCACCACCACTCACCAACACACTCACCACTCACCAACACCCTCACCACTCACCACTCACCACCACTCACCACTCACCACTCACCACCACTCACCACTCACCACCACTCACCAACACCCTCACCACTCACCACTCACCACTCACCACCACTCACCACTCACCACCACTCACCAACACACTCACCACTCACCAACACCCTCACCACTCACCACTCACCACCACTCACCACTCACCACTCACCACCACTCACCACTCACCACCACTCACCAACACACTCACCACTCACCAACACCCTCACCACTCACCACACTCACCAACACCACTCACCACTCACCACCACCACCATCACACTCACCACTCACCAACACCCTCACCACTCACCACTCACCACCACTCACCACTCACCACCACTCACCACTACACTCACCACTACACTCACCACTCACCACTCACCACCACACTCACCAACACCACTCACCACTCACCAACACTCACCACTCAGCACTCACCACCACACTCACCACTCACCAACACCACTCACCAACACACTCACCACTCACCACTACACTCACCACTACACTCACCACTCACCAACACCCTCACCACCACTCACCACTCACCACACTCACCACCACTCACCAACACCCTCACCACTCACCAATACCATCACCAACACCCTCACCACCACTCACCAACACCACTCACCAACACACTCACCACTCACCAACACTCACCACTCACCAACACCACTCACCACACTCACCACTCACCACTACACTCACCACTCACCAACACCACTCACCACTCACCACTACACTCACCACTCACCAACACCACTCACCACTCACCACTACACTCACCACTCACCAACACCACTCACCACTCACCACCACACTCACCACTCACCACTCACCAACACCACTCACCACTCACCACTCACCACCACACTCACCACTCACCAACATCACTCACCACTCACCACTACACTCACCAACACACTCACCACTCACCAACATCACACTCACCACTCACCACTACACTCACCACTCACCACTCACCACACTCACCACCACTCACCAACACCCTCACCACTCACCAATACCATCACCAACACCCTCACCACCACTCACCAACACCACTCACCAACACACTCACCACTCACCAACACTCACCACTCACCAACACCACTCACCACACTCACCACTACACTCACCACTCACCAACACCACTCACCACTCACCACTACACTCACCAACACCACTCACCATTCACCACTACACTCACCACTCACCAACACCACTCACCACCACACTCACCACTCACCACTCACCAACACCACTCACCACTCACCACCACACTCACCACTCACCAACATCACTCACCACTCACCACTACACTCACCAACACACTCACCACTCACCACACTCACCACTCACCACCATCACACTCACCAACACCACTCACCACCACTCACCACTCACCACACTCACCACTCACCACACTCACCACACTCACCACTCACCAACACCACTCACCACTCACCACACTCACCACACTCACCACACTCACCACTCACCACACTCACCACACTCACCACTCACCAACACCACTCACCACTCACCAACACCACTCACCACTCACCACCACTCACCAACACACTCACCAACACCACTCACCACTCACCAACACCACTCACCACTCACCAACACCACTCACCACTCACCACCACTCACCAACACACTCACCAACACCACTCACCACTACACTCACCAACACACTCACCAACACCACTCACCACTCACCAACACCACTCACCAACACACTCACCACTCACCAACACCACTCACCACTCACCACTACACTCACCACTACACTCACCACTCACCACTCACCACACTCACCACTCACCACTCACCAACACCACTCACCACTCACCAACACTCACCACTCACCACTCACCAACACCACTCACCACTCACCAACACCACTCACCACCACTCACCACTTACCAACACTCACCACTCACCACTCACCAACACCACTCACCACTCACCAACACCACTCACCACCACTCACCACTCACCAACACCACACTCACCACCATCACACTCACCAACACCACTCACCACTCACCACTACACTCACCACTCACCAACACCACTCACCACTCACCACTACACTCACCACTCACCAACACCACTCACCACTCACCACCACACTCACCACTACACTCACCACTCACCACTCACCACCACTCACCACCACTCACCACTACACTCACCACTCACCACTCACCAACACACTCACCACTCACCACTCAC